CATTCTCTCTTTCTCTCTCATTTCCTCTTTCTCTCTCTCATTCTCTCATTCTCTCTCTCATTCTCTGTCTCATTCTCTTTCTTCTCTCTTGTTCGCTCCTTCTCTCACTTCTCTCATTCTCTTTCTCTTCTCATTCTCTTTCTCTCCGTGTCTCTTTGTCTCTCTCTCCACTCTCTGCCTGTCTCTGTCTGTCTGTCTGTCTGTCTGTCTCTCTCTTTCTCTCTCTCTCTGAGCATTATTTCTTAACTTGGACATCTTTCACAGAAGTGGACTTCAACTCCCACAATTCCCAGCCAGCAGTGGGCATTCTGGGAGTTGACGTCCACTCAACGTGTAGTTGCTAAGTTTGAAAAACGCCGATTTAGAGGCGGAAGGACCCATCGTGCAGCCTTTAGAAAGCGTAGCATATATACCAACGAATCCATCCCACTCTTTTTGTAACAAAGGTGTGAACTGCGACGTGGAGATCAATGAGTGTGAATCCGCTCCCTGTTGGCATGGTGGCACCTGCTCTGACCATGTTGGCTTCTTCACCTGTTCCTGCCCGCCGGGCTACCGAGGAACCCAGTGCGAAGTGGATATTGATGAATGCCAAAGCCAGCCTTGTCTTAATGGAGCTACCTGCCAGGACCTGGTGAACAGGTGAGAACCTCCGTCCCGAGGACAATCTCAATGGCTTCTTCCGCTGCCCCGTTGCCCCCACACACACCTACGGCAAGACTTCGACAGGTGTTTATTCAAATTCCCCAAACAGGTCCTCGGAAAGCACCCCCCAATGCACAGGTCCGGATTCCGAGCAAGAGTCCCTGGGTAACCCAGTCCAATGGGTACACACAACATCCAGGAGTCAAACAGGCCACAGGATGGCACTGGGCACATTGCTCCAGCAACACACAAGTCCTCAGGAGGGAATTAAGTAGGCAACGGTGGTGCAACCTTTCACGAGAAGCGAGGCTGCCTCCTCGCGAGCAGTTTAGCTGACCAATGTTGTCCCTGCTCTGTGTGTCTTTGGATCAGGAGGAGGTATGGATTCCACCTCTTCCTCATTGCTAATAGAATTGCTCTTCCCGGTCCTCACCTGGAGCCCCCTCCCCCAAACTTACTGCAGCTCCCCTCCCTCAACCCAGCGGAGCACTGAGTAACACTGAGTAGTACTCTCTGAGCCCTGATCCTGACCGATACTCAGCTCTACGTTTTCCTCTTAGGATTCAAACTCACCCATCTCCTCCAAACCTGCATCTGGAGAGGGGTCCGTGGGGGCCAATCCATGGCACCTCTAGGATTAGATTAGATCAACAGAGTTGGAAGGGACCTTGTAGATCATCTAGTCCAACCCACCGTCCAAGCAGGAGATCCTACACCATTTCTGACAGGTGGCAGTCCAGCCTCTTCTTGAAAGCTTCCAGGGATGAAGCTCCCACAACTTCTGAAGGCAACGTCTGTTCCATGGATTGATTGTTCTCCCTGTCAGAAAATTCCTCCTTATTTCCAGGTTGAATCTCTCCTTGGTCAGTTTCCATCCATTATTCCTTGTCTGGCCTTCAGGTGCTTTGGAAAATAGCTCGACCCCCTCCTCCTCCTCTCTGGGGCAGCCCCTCAAATGTTGAAAGACTACTATCATGTCTCCCCTGGTCCTTCTCTTCCCTAGACTAGCCAGGCCCAGTTCCTGCAACCTTACATCATATGTTTTAGCCTCCAGTCCCCTCATCATCCTGGTTGCTCTTCTCTGCACTCATCCTAGCATCTCAGCATCTTTTTTTATAGTGTGGTGACCAAAACTGGGTACAATACTCTAGGTGTGACCCCCTCCTCTCTGGGGCAGCCCCTCCAATCTTGGAAGATGCTCTCCTGTCTCCCCTGGTCCTTCCCTTCTCTGAGAAGATTTGGGGGCTGCTGTTCTAGTCGAACCTTGAGCAGGAGACATTATACCATTCCAGACCCTAATGGTTGTCCAAGCTCTTCTTGAAATCCTCCAGTGATGGAGCAGCCACAACTTCTGAAGACAAATGAGTCCGTTGGTTGATTGCTCTCACCATTAAGACATTTGCTCCGTAGTTCTAGGTTGCCTCTCTCCTTGGTCTGTTTCCATCCATTCTTTCTTGTCTGGCCTTCAGGAAAACAGCTTGACCCCCTTCCTCCTCTCTGGGGCAGCCCCTCAAATATTGGGAGACTGCTATCCTGTCTCCCCTGGTCCTTCTCTTCCCTAGACTAGTTGCCCACCTCATTCTGGCACTGACAGAGCAAGGGAGACACACCTCAAAGTGTCGCAGGATGGAAGATTCCTAATCAAGGTTTTCACGGGCCATCGCTTCAGTCCTCACTCGGTTGTCTTTCTACCCAGGGGGAGTCTTTCCACACATAGGAGCCTCCTCCCCCAATGACTTCTTTTTTTGTATTTTCTCCAGTCTTAGGGATCCTCCCTTTGTGAGAAATCTTTAAGAAGAGAGACTGCTTTTAGCGTACAGGATGCCATTGATGGTGCAATGCGTACACTGTTGAGAGGACTGGGCTATTTTAATGCTTCTGCCATATCTTTGAGGAACAGAGGTGACAGTTGAGGAATAATCTAGATGCAGTTAGCTAAACGCAGGGATGAATTTGACATGGGGCATTGACAGCATCCATGAAAAAGGAGTAAAGGTTCCCCTTGCACCTATGTGCTAGTCGTTTCCAGCTCCTCTCCATTTCAAAGCCGAAGAAGAGCCAGCACTGTCCAAAGATGTCTCCGTGGTCATGTGGCCGGCATGACTAAACACCGAAGGTGCACGGAACGCTGTTCCCTTCCCACCAAAGAGGTCCCTATTTTTCTACTTGCATTTTTTTTTTACATGCTTTCGAACTGCTAGATTGGCAGAAGCTGGGACAAGGAATGCAAGCTCACTCCGTGATGCGGCGCTGGGGGTTCGAACCGCCGAACTGCTGACCTTCCTGATCGACAAGCTCATCGTCTTAGCCACCGAGCCACCTCATCCCCTACGGAAAAGAGAGGATGTGCTAAATCAGTCAGTCCCACAGTCTTTTCTCTCTCTCTCTCCTTAGCTACCAGTGTGACTGTCACAACACGGGGTTTGAAGGACAGCACTGTGAGGTGGACATCTTGGAGTGTGCCTCACAACCTTGCCAAAATGGAGCCCCTTGCTTGGAAGGAGCTGGATTTTACAACTGTTCTTGCTGGCCAGGTGAGCAAAGTCCTCCAACGGGCCTTTCAGAATCCGGAACAGGGAGGAGGAAGCCTTCACTCCACTCCGAAGTTCCTAGTTTCACTCGTACCCTATCCCTTTTCTGTGACACTAGGGTACGGGGGAACCAACTGCGAAGAAGACATGGATGACTGTGCAACACACCCATGTCTCAACGATGGAGAGTGCCTCGAACGGTCCAATCAGAGCTACTACGGGAGACACGTGGATTTCCCCGAGCAATTTAGCTACGAAGCAGCCGCTGGTTTCATCTGCAGTTGTCATCTCGGTTTTGAGGGTGCGCTCTTTTCACTGTTTTGGGGGGTCCTGTGGGGTCTACAGGAGGTCAGGAATTAGCCAACAGATCAAGAAACCAGGCCCTCTTCCCTCCCTAATTGCATCAGCAGGGTTTTTCATGGCATAGACCTGTGGTGGCTAACTTTTTTGGGCTCCTGTGCCAAAAATTGCATGCTCGCTTGTGCGCACTCTCTCACATGCCAGTACCCAGAAGGCAATGCGTGCAGGCCCTCCTACGCCCCCTGCACATGTGTGTGCATTCCCCCCTGCCGCGCCCTTACCTGCACTGCTTATGCGTGCACCTCCCAGCTGATTTTTGGGCTTTTTTGGCTTCCCAGAGACTCAAGGGAAGCCTCTGAAGCCTTTGGAGGCCGAAAAATGGGCCAATTTAGTCACATCCAGTATTTCTGGAAATACATGAAGTGATGAAACAGGCTTGTTTTTTGGCCTCCAAAGGCTGCTGAGGCTTCCCTCAAGCCTCTGGGAGGCTGAAAAGGCCCGAAAATCAGCTGGGAGGCACACGCATGCACAGTGAGGAGAGTCTGCTTGGGGCTCACATGCCATACGTCCGCCATCACAGGCATAGATCGTGAGTTCAGATCTTTATATAGCTTGGAAGTGATTTTTTTCATTCTTGGCCCGTCGGTCTTTCTTCCATGGGATCATTTTGGATGGTTAAATGTGCCTTTAAATGTTGCAGAAGAACAGAATGGGCTTCTTAGCCGTGTGTCGAGTTCATAAATTCAAGCCCGCTCGAGTTAGCGATCGATCCTTAAAAAAAGAAAAAAAAATCAATGAGAAACTCAGGTTCTGAGCATGATTTGCTTTGCCAATCCCTTTGAAGGAGAAACCTGTTCCATTGACATTGATGAATGTGAATCTGAGCCGTGTAAGAACGGAGGGAACTGCGTGGATCTGGTGAACGGCTATCACTGCGACTGCTTGCCAGGATATTCAGGTAAATGGAGGAAGAATGGGAGAATGGAAGAGAATCAGAGTGTGGGAAAGAGAAAAAGGTCTGGTGGCCGGGGGCAAATTCTTATGGGTCTTTATGTAACCAAAATATTTGTCTCTGACTGCTTTTTTCACTTACCAAATTCACTTAGCAATAGCAATCAGCACTTAGATTTATATACTGGTTCACAGTGCGTTTACAGTCCACACTAAGCGATTTACAGAGTCAGCCTCTGACCCCCAACAATCTGGGTCCTCATTTTACCCACCTTGGAAGGACGGAAGGCTGAGTCAACCTTGAGCCAGTCAGGATTGAACTGCTGGCAGTCAGCAATCAGTCTCCAATGCTGCATTCTAATCACTGTGCCATCACAGCTGAGAGAGAGAGAGAGAGAGAGAGACAGACAGACAGACAGACAGACAGACAGACAGACAGACATAGAAATAGATCAATAGCAATAGCACTTAGACTTATATACCGCTTCACAGCACTTTTACAGCCCTCCCTAAGTGGTTTGCAGAGTCAGCCTCTTGCCCGCCAACCATCTGGGTCCTCGTTTCACCCACCTGGGAATGATGGGAGGTTGAGTCAACCTGAAGCCTGGTGAGATTCGAACTGCCAAATTGCTGGCAGTCGGCAGTCAGCAGAAGTAGCCTGCAGTACTGCACTCTGACCACTGCGCCACCGCGGCTCATTTCGCTTACCTGAATTCTGCACTAATTTAATATCAAAGTCAGATGGCTGAAAACACCCCAACGTTGACTTTGGGAATGGTTAGAATAGAATAGAATAGAATAGAATAGAATAGAATAGAATAGAATAGAATAGAATAGAATAGAGAGTTGTAAGGGACCTTGGAGGTCTTCTAGCCCAACCCCCTGCTCAGGCAGGAAACCCTAGAGCATTTCAGACAAATGTGTCATGCCCCTGGTGGAGACTGACTTGGAGGGAGAGAAGAAACAACCAACAGGGAGTGGAATTGTGGCTCCGGAGGTTGTGGAGGAGGCTGGGGAAGGGCAGAGGCTGGCTGGGCAGTCAGAGGCCAATCCCCTCTCCATCCTAGGGGACGCAGGGAGGAGAGGTTAAGGGAGAGATGTGGTCTACTTGGGAGGAGAGGGCCTTGATCCTCTTCATGGGCTGCAGCTGTGACAAGTGCATAAGAGTTGCAGCAAACGCTGGAAACAAAGCTTGTTTTATTTTGGTCTGGAGTTATCTTGGTTGGTGTGCTTCCAACAGATTGTGCCTTGTTATCTCCTTGAATTTGGTAAATACTTCTCTTGTTCCGTTGTGGAAATTTTGTCATTGTAGTTTCTTTGGGTTTTTTTTTTTATTTCACCTCTATCTGCTCATTAAATTTGGACTGTATTGCTTTCTTTTGAAGTCTATTTTTGAATAAGTTTTATCTCCAGCTGAGAATTATTTGAATAGTGGGGCCAAGTTAGAGGCGTTAAAGGACATTTATGTACGTTTTGGATTTTGTTACGTTTGTGTTACACTCTGGGTCATCACAAAATGTCTTCTTAAAAATCTCTTCTTAAAAACTTTCAGTGTTGGAGCATTCACAACTTCTGGAGGCAAGTTAATTGTTAATGAACTTGTTAATTGCTCATCTTCACGTGATCTTGATTCTTTCACAGAACGGTTCATATTGTGATATTTGGCCCAAGCAATGCTTGCTGTGCGGGCAAATCTTATGATGTGCTTTCTCTGATCTCACTCACGTGGAAAGGGCCTCATTGTCTTTGCTAGATTTCACAGTGCTTTCTTTGTAGAGATTGACAGAACAGAATATTTCCAGCTCAGGGTTGAATTGTGGAGTCCTTGGGGCCCTCTCATTTTCTTGCAGACATTTCATGACCCAACTAGGTAACAACATCAGTGCTAGAAGGGAGGGGGTCTTAGAGAGGAGGAGGAGGATGACTGTGGGGTCCTTGGTGGTCTAAGTGCTGATGATGTTACTTAATTGGACAATGAAACATCTGCAACAAAACAGCCAAGTTCAGAGAGCACCAAGGACCCCACAGACCTCCTCCTCCTCCTCCTCCCGCCTCTCCCTTCCGGCACTGATGATGTTACCTGGCTGTATAATGAGACGCCTGCAAGAAAGCACCAGCCAACCTCAGAGAGCGCCAGGGGCCTTGCAGAGATCATCCCCCTAGAATGTTATTTTAAAACTGGGATTTGTACAAAAGCAGAGAAGAAATACAAGGCTTGCTCCATTAACAAGTAATATCCACCTGTGCCTTTCCTGAATTAATGAAAGAGAGAGCCGTAATGTACAGACAAAACCTCATTTCTAAATTCCTTTACAATAAATACTCCATTCCATGGGACCAGATAGCTCTGAAAACACTGGCTCTTGGGAATAGTCTTTCTAAAATATTGTGAGGCTGCCATCTTGTGGGAAAGATGAGAAACCCGAAAGGTTAAGGAAAACCTGGTGGTGAGTTTTCTTCAAGAGAAGCGATTTAAGCCTACCCTACTTGTGTCCTGCTCAGTTTCGTTTACTCGCAGACCAACGAGATGAAACCAACTGTCCAGCTGAGACACTTGCAGAGCACACTTTCTGCTTGCCCATAGACCCGTGATAGATCCGTGACATATGGCACATGTGTCAGAAGAGGCACGCAGAGCCGTTGCCCCGCTGTGCATGCTCACACGCTAGTCTTCAGGTCTCTGCCGTTTTTGCCATCCCGGAGGCTGGAAAGCCTCAGGAGCGCAGGGAGGACAAAAATTCCCCCCTCCAGCTGTGGTGCAGGAGGCCAACTAGGCCACACCCACCCTGGCCACGCCCACTGTTAGGAATATAAGTCACCTAACAGCTATTTGGGTTAGAAATATATAAACCAGGATAGACATTTTAATACTGTCTCTTTAAGAGAATCCTAAAAGTGTAATTGGGTGCGGTTTCTCAAATGGCCATAAGATGGAGCCAGAAACCTGGGTTGTCTGAGTCTTAGTCTCAGAAGGGAGTGTGAGTAAGTCTCTGTTTCCTTCTGTTGGAGAGTTTTGCCATTCCTTCTAATTGACTGATATTCTTGGATTTGATGTAAGTCTTTTACCGAACTGATTTTGACACCGGACTTTGTTATTGGATTATCCCTGGATTGAAAAACTGACTGATTTACCTGTGCAATGACTTTTGGACTGCTTATTTTGAACTTTGCTTAAACCTTTCTGGAAAGTAAAAACCTACATATCCTATACAGTGTATCTGTGTGCCGTGTGCGTATTATTCAAACACTTCTCTCAAATACGTCTCCCTGGATGCGCTCATTCTCCTAACGGGGAATTACCTCAACACTCACCCAGCAACCGGGTAGAGAATTGTTTGCTAACATTTCTGAAGGCCACCCCTGATTTTTGACCGTTTTTGCAGGCTGGGCTCAGCTCTTTCCAGGGGGCTCTTCTAATGTGAGTTGGACCCAAGAGGCTTCCAGGACACTTGCGCTGCCCCCACTCCCCTCATACACACACACACACACACACACACACACACACACACACACACGCTGTCAGGCTTGGAAGCCACATTTTCCTTGGAAGCTTCAAGGCTGCCACGTTTAGTGCCTATGAACATTCATAGAAAGGCAGAAGATTAGATTCAACACCATTCTTTCCCGAGGGTCAAGGCCAAGCTACCCTGCACCTGGAAGATCTCCAGTTGTGACGACGCCCACCATGGCCACATCCACCCAGCCACCCCCCTGCTAACATTTTTAAAGCCCACCCGTCTCCAGCCCTTTAATCACCTTAGTTGCTCTTCTTTGCCCTCCAAGGGTCAACATCAGCAGGAAGGGCCACTATAGGGCCCAGTTGGACAGCACGAAGTCCAAGAAAAGACGGGTTTAGTCCAACCCGCTGAGGATAGTCTTCCCAGCTGGCTGGCTTCAGGAGGCTGGCTTGCTCCCCTGCCCGCTGTAATGGGCCTGCAGGCTCCATTCCCATCAGTAAGAGGGAAGGGAGGGCACCCAGGACCAGCGGGCTCTCCTGCGTAGGCCCAACTCCCACTCCCCTTGCAGGGGAGGGCAGTAGGCGAAACATGTTGTCAAACTGGGACAGAAGCCAGCTGGGAAGATTTAGAGCTGAGATGGATTAGATCGAGCCGCCGGCTGAAGGGGCAAGAGCCCTTGTGTCTCTCCGAAGAGGCCCGTTGTGTGTGCCTGGCACCCAGGAGTGAAAGAAACCGTGTTCCGGTCCAATCCAGCTCCGCTTCAGCCCTTCCCACCTTGGGACCACCACCCGTGCCGTCCGGGGGAGCGGCCATGAATCCTCTGCTGGCTGGCATCTTCCTGGGTGGATTTTCTCACCTCCTGGCAGGTAATGACCCGAGGTCCTTAGCAACCTCTGTGTGGTTGTGGGTCTGTGGGTGTCCTGTATGGGTCGTTGGGCAAGGCTTCTTGTTTTGGCGGCCGGCTTTTCAGTAGGGGGTGTCTCTGCTAAGCCTTGGGAAGGCAGAGCTGTTCAGCTTCACGCTCAAATGGACTTTGATTTTCTTCTTCTGTTCTGGCCTGTCCTGGGCAGAAATACTCCAGACTGTGAAAAATTGGGTGTCTCCTAGGAAGTGCTTCTGAAGAAGCCGGATTTCTCTCCAGTTAATGCCTATAGAAGGTATCCAAACAAGAAGCTCAAATAAGGATGAGACTGTGCATAGATCACCACAATGATGGAGAGATGAAAGAAAGAAAGAAAGAAAGAAAGAAAGAAAGAAAGAAAGAAAGAA